GTATCTCCTCCTCCTCCTCCTCCTCCTCCTCCTCCTCCTCCTCCTCCTCCTCCTCCTCCTCCTCCTCCTCCTCCTTCCTCTCCTCCTCTTCCCCTGTTTCTGCTTCATCTTCCTCTTCCTCTACATCAATCCCCATCATCGGATGCTCAAACTCCCTCATGTCTGATCTCACCTCGCGGCCTCCCCAAGGGCTTCAGCCTCCTCCTCTGGCGGAGCCCCTTTGACTTGAATCGCACGCTGATAGAATGAGGCTGCACGAAGGTGAGAAAAGAGGAGGACCAGGGAAGAGCAATGATAGATCAGGTGGAGAGGAGGAGGAGAAGAAAGAGAATTATGATTAGAGGGAGGAGGAGGAGGAGGAGGAGAAGAGTGGTTGGACAAGGAAGAGGAAAAACGAAGGAGGAAGGTGAGGAGGAGGAGAAAAATCAGTCATGAACGTCAACATCAAGATCTCTTCACCTGCATTCTTCTTGTCGCTCCTCTCAAACTCAAGGAACCTGGCGTAAGACAGCAAGGTCGGGATATGCTCAGGGTTCATTCGCAACGCCATCTTGTGCAGCTGCATGCAGCGGAGGAGGTCTCGACGACGACGGAGGTGAAACTGAGCAGCAGCGAGGTAATAGCTCGGGTCCTTGGGCCTCAAGCTGATCACCCGCTCGTACATCTCTCTTGCTCCCACGTATTGCCTCTGCGTTTCCTCCAGGAAAACTCTGAAAGGAGACTATCAGGATAAGAGCTGGGAGAAAGAAGACTGAGCTGTATGAAGAAGAGGAGCAGCAGGAGGAGACAGAGCAGGAGCTTCGTGAAGGTGTAGGAGCAGGAGCTTCGTGAAGGTGTAGGAGCAGGAGCTTCGTGAAGGTGTAGGAGCAGGAGCTTCGTGAAGGTGTAGGAGCAGGAGCTTCGTGAAGGAGCAGGAGCAGGAGCAGCAGAGGCATGAGGAGGTGGATTGAGGAGAGGAGAAGGTTGATGCGGTTGGCGTTGTAAGTTAGATACGCACGCGAAATTGAAGCAGATCTCGGGGTCGGAGGGAGCAGCAGAGACAGCGTCCTGATAGTACTTCATCGCTGTCTTGTTGTCTTTGAAATGTTTCTCCTGCAGCTGCGCGTAGTTGCTGAGCGATGCCGCGTGACGAGGGTTAAGATGAATCGCTCGCAGGTAACTCCGACAAGCTTCTGGTATCTTCCCTTCCTCCTCCTGCCATCCCTTCAGCCCAATCTCCTTCCACTCCTGCTCCTGCTCCTGCTCCTGATCCTACTTTCTTATTTCTCTGTCTTCCCCTCCTCATCTTCACCCTGCGTCTTCCGCCCCCCCCCCCTCGCCTCCTCCTCGGACCGTCACATACCTGAAACTCGCTCGTCCTCCTCCTCTTCCTTCTCCTCCTCCGCCTTCTCCTCCTCCGCTTCTTTATGCACCACCTTCGGTCTGCGTCTGCCATCCGGTATCTCGCCCAGCACATAACGGCGAAGTCAACCAGCGCCTCTACGTACTCGTCGTTGATGCTGAGACATCGCTGAAACAGCTGCAGAAGACACATCAAACTCTGCTCTACCCACACCCTCTTGTTTCTCCCTCCCCTTCTCTCGTCTCCTTTTTCCTACTCTCCTCCCTTACAACTCGTCCTTCGCTTTGCTTCCTTGACTTCACTATCTGACACCTTGCCTCCATTACGATCATCGTACCTCGATTTTCTTGTCTTCAATCACCTTTCTGCTTTCCTACCCCTGAATCTGATCTGATCTGATCTGATCTGATCCGATCCGATCATATCCGATCCGATCCGATCCGATCCGATCTGATCTCATTGCATCGCATCGCATCTCATCTGATTCTTCTCGTACACTTGCTATTAACGATATCTCGCTTTTGCTTCAGAGGATTAAATTGACCCTGCCCTTCTTCTCCTCTATCTCCTTGTTGTTTGTTTCCATTACCATCTCTGCCTGTGCGACGTCTTTCTTTTTGCTGTACATGAATAAAGCGTATCGATGAAGAACAGGAAGGTTGTTAGGATTTCTGTCGAAACAAGTCAACTTGCGACATGATGGAACAATCGGACAAACTTTCTCAAAGCTCTTCGGAATTCTTCTTCTGTCTTGTACTTGAGCCATTTCTTGATGCTTCCCATGTTCTTGACCTGTCCTCCTCATTCATAAATGACTTCAACTCAAACTCAAGCCTAATCTCCTCTTAAACTTCTTTTGACGTAATCCCTCTCTCTTGATCGTTATCTATCTCTTTGTTGTCCATTGTACCTCCTCACTCAACCTATCCTCTCCTCTCTTCTCTTCTCACCTCGTCAGGCAGCCCCGCGAGCGAGAAGTTTTCCCAGACCCATCGGTCACCATCAGGAGCATCGAGGCGAGAGGAGAGAGGAATCCATTTCTCCTCCTCTTCTTGTGATACTTTCCGAGCTGGGGTTCCATCTCCAGCAAACAATTTCTTTCCCTCCTCAGTCTCTTCTTTGCCTGATCTTTCAGTGTCTCCTCCTTTCCCCTCCTCCTCCTCCTCCTCCTCCTCTGGCGGGGGGACGTGTGGTTTGTCTTGCGCTTGTGGCTGCTCATCAAGGCTCTTGTTCTTGTCGTTGTTTCCCTCCGACCTCCTCGACATTGAAGAGATGGAAGATTGAGAGACAGACAGCTTGTCGGAGATGCTCGACCGAGACGACGAGGAGGAGGAGGAGGAGATCTTGCCGGAAGGTTTGACAGCTTGATCTTGAGGTCTTCGCACGAGGCTGTGGGATGATAGCGAGTCTCTCACACTCTCGTCTTCAGACTCCTCCACTTCAGTACTGCAGTATCAACCATCAAAGCTTCTTCCTCTCCTCCTCTGCTATCCCCTCTTCTCTACTCCCCTCTCCCCTTCCTTCCGTATTGTCTCTCCTCTACTCTCCTCTCCTCTTCCTTCCGTATTGTCTCTCCTCTCCTCTCCTCTTCTCTCCTCTCCTCTCCTCTCCTCTCCTCGTTGCTTTCTCATCAATTTGACCCTTGGCAACAGTGTCTTTATTTTCTCACCTGTCAGGTGTGATGTCGTCTCGAGCATAAGGTACAGACGCCTGCGGAGAAGTTTTCCTGCGACCCATCCTTAGCTCTTCACCTCCTCCTTTTCCCATGCTCCATCTTCCCTCCATTCCCTCTCTCGGCCACCACCACCACCACCACCACCACCACCACCTCCTCCTCCTCCTCCTCCTCCTCCTCCTCCTCCTCCTCCTCCTCCTCCTCCTCCTCCTCCTCCTCCAATCTTCATTTTCATAGTAGTCTCCCTCCCTCGCACCTACAAACACGCCCTCTAACGGGCTGGCAGGTCTCACTTGTCATTTTTTTGCGGCATCGGAGCCAGCGTGCCAGGGCTCTCCGGCCTCTCCGGGTAGTCTTCAGTCTGCTTTGAGATAGCAGAGGAGGAGGAAGAGACAGTTCTAGGACTCTCTTCCTCGCTCTCGCTGTCTGTAATCTTCATAGTTTCCTGCTCCTGTGACCCGCAGGCTTACAAGATTGAAGTCGCTTTCTCCTTCACCTTCAAGTGCAGATTCTCTCTGACTCTGACAAACGCGTTACCTCGCAGACGATGAAACCAGCACCGGCTACCTGCCCATCGCCGAGTTCTTGGCCGCGAGAGAAGTGCCGGGGCGAGGAGGCAGAGCATGTTCATCCTGAAGGGAACAAGAGGAGAAGGAAGAGAAATCGTCAGCACCTGCGAGATCGAAAACAGAAAAAAGCAGTGCTGAAGAGGAACAAGACGAACGAGAGAAGGAGTCAGAGAGGGAAGGAATCAGAGACAGGAAGAATCGCAACACGGAGAGAGTTGCACTTGCTCAGGATGAGGGAGATACAAGGGATAAGGTACAAGCCCACAAGCTCATTGACAACAGACCTCCGAGGCATCGGACTCAGTTAGGCTCTTTGAAGACGAGGAGTCCGAGATATCTGTTGCCTGTCCAAAGGCACCATGTTAACGACACACCACAAACAACCAGCCAAAGGAAACACAGTAACACACATCATCATCTACAATGAATATTCATTTGTTTTCTTGTGACATAATATAGCATCAAAACTTCTCCCAAAAAGTGCATCTCGAGCTGCGCATGACCATCAGTGGCATTAACCTTTACAGCTGTTCCTGGACGAGCGGCTGCTTGTTGCGGGAGATCTAGTTTCTTGAACAATGGCAATGTCGCCTCATCTCCCTTGGGCTTCACTTGGGGAGGTACATTGGCATGCTCCTTCTGATTCCCTGATAACGTTTCTCCTCCTGCAGCTCCTCCACTCCCTGCCCCCGCCCCACCACCACCACCACCACCTCCTCCTCCTCCTCCTCCTCCTCCTCCTCCTCCTCCTTTTCCTTTTCCTCCTCCCCCTCCCCCTCCTCTTCCTCCTCCTGATGCTCCTTCTGGTTGAATGTCATCTTCGCTATCGATCCAGCCTCCCTGCGAAAGGTTTCAATGCTCTTTATGCTGTCTTGTCTTCAATTCAATCTGGGGATTCTGCTTGTTGACTTCTGATCTCAGAAGCAAAGTCGTCCTTCAGTCTACTAGGCATCTCCCTTCGCAACCCTACACGCGACGCGCTGTCTTCCTCTCTCCCATATACATCGAGTTGGCGACTCTTTACCTTTCTGCCTTTTGGCTTTGTGTCTTCGCCTCCATCTTCAAGCTCCTGACGAGCCCGCTGTATCCTGTCATCCATCCTTGACAGGGCTGAGCAGAAGGATCACAAACAGCAGAACGAAGCAAGAAGCAGCAAGACAACATCTTCAGCAGAACGAAACAAGAAGCAGCAAGACAACATCTTTCTCAAGATATACAGCAAGCAGACTATTTGCATAACCAACCTGAGGATGATTTTGATTTCTCCCAGTGAGGAACAATGGGTTCTTTCTTTCTGGAAGGAGGAGGCGGCTGAGTGCTGGAGAGTGGCTTCTTGACCCGCCGCTTCCTCTCGTCTTCTGACGAGCTGTGGGAGCTTTCTGTGTCCGACGAAACATTCTGAGGCTTCGCTCGTCGAGCACCCATGACCGTGGGATCTCTTGCATCGACGACAAACTTCGGTGCCGCATCTTGACTGAACGCCAAAGATCCAGCCTTTTTGCTCTGTCTCTGCGGGTCCTAGAAAGAGTCAAGGAGTGGAGCTACTTCAAACTCCTCAGGCTCATCACCTTGACTGGTTTCTTCGGCCGTGCCCCTAAAACATCGCGATCATGGAGAGAAGCTGTTATCTCAACGGCAACGGGGAGACAGCGGGTGGAAAGAGCGGGAAACAAAACGACAAAGATGAGGGGGAGGAGAAGAAACGATAAAGATGAGAAGGAGAAGAAGAAATGATAAAGATGAGAAGGGGAAAGGAAAACGATAAAGGGATGAAGGGGATGCCTTGGTTGGAGATGGGACGAAGAGCTGTTGCCCGCGATGTCTTACTGGAGGCAATCTTGCAGAAGAGAGAGTGATTCACTCTCACCATAGTCATGTAGTGCGATTACCTTAGCATCGATCTCTTTGAGGAAGTCTTTGTCAATGTAATCTTCCTCGTCACTGGATTCCGACAGCTCACTTGACCCCATGCTGATCTTACGAGGCTTCAGAAGCGTTTGAAGCATGGAGGTCATGTGGAAGGATGAGGGCTCACCTAAGGCATCTGAGGTTGCAGGTCCATCACTGTGTTTACGCTCACAATGTGTAAGCGATCCAAGAGCAGAGTCCTCGCTCAGACCCTCTTCTCGTCTCTCCCGTATGCTCCCATCGCATCTAGTTTGCCAAAGTTTCGGATGTCTCGGTGTAACCGTAGATAAAACGGTCCGGTCGGGCCTTGGCACCGCGACCGTATCGGACAACGGTTCCGAGTTCCGACCGGCCGGGCGGGCCCGGGGCCGGGCCGGGCGCCGCTACCGGGCGCCCGCGCCCGGTCGGCAGCGGCCCCGGGTCGGAACGCACGGAGGGCGAGCTTTCGGCGGCCGGGCGGCCCGCGGCGGACCGGACCGTACGACGGTACTCGGACCCTCACAGTCACGGCCCGCTGGCCCCCGCCCCGCGCCCCCGGCCCCGGCCGAGCGCCGCGCGCGGCGCCGGGCCGGTCGGAGGCGACTCAGTCCGCGCCGCCAACCGCGGCCGCCCCCCGGTTTGGCCCTTCTGACCTGAGTAAAGAACAAAACCTTAACCTTCGATAAGGCAAAACAAGTCTTGAGGTGAGACATGTCGAAAGGGCATTAGTCTGATATCGGCAAGATTGTTTCCTTACGTGGGTTTTATATTTACAAAATGTTTTCGTTCATAATGATACGGGGATTTCTACGCATTCACTGACCACACATGTCCACATTTTGTGCATTCGTAGAAAATAGTTTGACCTTCATCCGCACTACGCATCTGAAAACGAATTAGAACAAGGTGTTTGCGGTTGTTTGCATAAACAAGATTGCATGTGCACCTGAAGCGTTGAATATTTTGCCTCGTGATTGTTGCATTTCGGGCAGTTTTCCTCTACAGTCGCCCTTCCATCTTGCTCACCATCCACTTCTTGTAAAAGAGCAGCCACATTGAATTTTGGTTTGCTCTGAGTTATCTGCAGGGATGTCAAGAACACACGACAAATAGATAAATGACACACTGTTTCTCGACCAAGAAACATTGACCAAGGGCATATACAGCTGATGTTAAAATATCACTTTCTTAGTCAAAGTCATGCATAAATGATTTACTTGCAGCCCTGACACTTGATATGTTCTGAGCCAACATCTGGGGGATCCAAAATCCTATAATTCATTCAATGCATGTTAGAATAATCATGTAAAATTCGAACTTGGCAAATGTCTGTGCTTGTGTGCACCGCATAACCAACGTTCTTGGTTTCTTTGCATTTCACAATCAACGATGTCTATTTCTTTGCATCTCCAAATATTGCATCAAAACGCTTCATTTTCCTGCTATTCATTCACTTTTCCTGCTATTCATTCCCATCATACTGCCGGCGTCATTATCGCATGTTCAGATTCTAGTGCCATCATCAACATTTAATCATCGACGCAACTTTCAGTGCTTCTTGTTGCACGTTACCTCTCCAGGGATTGCTCACATCGCAGTCTCCCTCTTTCACGCACACACAGAACTCGAACACAATTCGTGTCTTCGTCTTTGCCTAGCTTATGATGTTTTAATCAAAACTCTGGCGTTCTCCTTTGCTAGTCTTCCATACCCCATGGCTCACCTTCCGCAGTCGGGGCAGAAAACTTGAGCGCCAGCCATGGCACGTGATGTTTGACCTATTTGACCACTTTGATCCCAGTCTCCCGCGGCAAATTAAGTTGGCCGGGGGCGGTCCCGGCCGAAACCCGGCGCTGACCTTGCGGGCCGAGTGCATCCGACAGGGATGCCGGACCGTCAATTTGGGTCGTTTACTCAAAGTTAAGTTAAAAAATCAGTACATTGGTGCGGACGACGTATCCGATCAGCCTCGGACTCATGACGTGACCACCAAAGCTGTCACATGGCAAAGGAAGGTGAGTCACGCGGACCGACTGATCCGGAACCTTCCAAAGACTTGTTCAAGAAGTCACGAGGCTTCTTCGGACAGAAACTTCGGCTACAATACGCAATTTTAAGTTTGATATTTCGACTCCAATATTTCTTCCAAATAATCAAAAGTTATATATTCAGGTTAAGGACAACTTCAAAGCAAGCTTGCTGTGATCTGACGTCAATATGGTTTAAATTGTCAGCAACATTCTCGAGTTATGCCTGGTTTTCCTCACAACCGGTCCAAAGATAGGGTTTTGTAGGGGTCCAATGTTGACTGCGGAGGTGGCCTCCGGGAAAGGAGTTAGATCGGGTGTCAAAACTGTATCCAGAATATTCAACTTTTGTTGTATGAATCTGAAATCATCTTTGAGCATTAAATGATCCGTGGAGTAATCTCGAGCCGTGAACGACTAATTGTGTCAGCAAGCGGACGATCCCGTGTCCTTTACAACACAAACCGATACAAAAAGTCAACGATTCAAGTTTACCTTCTTCGAATTGCTGATGCACATGGATAATCTTACTGATATGACTTCTTTTCACCTCCACTTCCCCGCAGTGTACGCGTGACAGCTTACTATATAATCTTGTACCTACGCCCGACTCATCCATCTGAGCGCTTGCGTCCTTCAGCCCACGAAGCCGATCACAGATCTCTTCTTGTTTCCGAAACAACAGAGTTCTTCAGCTGTGTCGATATATTTGCATCTGGAACCTTCAGCAGCATTCCCTTTTGTTTGATATCATTATGACTCCTGCAAACACTCGCTCGAAAATTGTCCGACTTACGCTAAATGAGAAACAAAAGGCTTACCTGGAGCAAATGAAAGCAAACCAAGAAAAACATGATAAGGAGAAGCTGGAGCAACCCCAGAAACTTAACTTCGTATGCTATGTGGCTGATGGGTCAAAATTGCTTGATAACATCAAAATGGCTAAGAGAAAGTATGATGTCAGATCACAGTCAGCCGTGGACCTACACGAATTGCAACGACAAGCAGAAGCAGCTGAAATGGCTTTATCACTGAGACGAACCTCAAGCATGAAGCGATTGACCTCTCCTGAATCTCTTGAATGCGATTGATTTTCCACAGCTGGCGATGTTTGGTTCAGTTTTGTAGATTTTGTTATTTTTTTGTTGCTCTTTTTAATACATATACAAATGCATTATCAATGATGCGATCATTATCAATGCTGCGATCATTATCACATTCAATGATACAATTTAGTCATCACTCCTGTATTCATTGTCTTCGTATACGCAAGGTTTGGGGTGTACCTACATCAGGCTGCAACCAGTCGATAAGACCAATATGCAATGCATTTGCTGTGCCTGCTGGTTAAGAAGATCGGTTGTTCGTTATTCAATTCAAACCCGTCTGTAGAGAGACTGAGATGGGATAGTACGTTCCTGCGGTGTTTCACATCTGCTTCGCGTGGTGTTCACCACAGCGCGATTCGTCACCCGACAGTCGGTGGCTTCCCACTGAACTTCGGAACCGGGCCCTTGAACTAGTCGGGCCGGGCAGCACTGATCTCTGGGTCTTTTTATGACGCATCTGTCCTCTGCATGTTTATGGGATACAGCACTCAGACAAGTCACTGTCTGAACTGAACTTCGGAAGGCGGCGGCCGCCCCGGGGCCGGCGGCGTGAGTCATGACTGAGCCTCCGAGAGTCAGACCGTCGGACTCTGCCCGTCTTCTTTACTCAAAGTTAAGTTAAAATCAGTACGAGGACAATCAGGAGAGTCGAGGAGGCTTGACCCTGACACTGTCGCACAGGCCAAACGGCCGCAGAAGAGAAAAGACAGCGAGAACCAAACCTAAACCTGCCGACTGCTGTCCCCCAAACTTAACTGATACCTTCACTTAACGGCGCGCAGGACAAGTCCCCCGCCGTCACTGTCCGACACGTGGCAACCGTCCGGTGACTTGGGCCCGCGCCGCCGCGGCCGGCTCCCGGCCGCGCAGCCTCCGAGTGCGGCCCGGGCCCCCTGGTGACCGTCGGACGGTCAGTTGTGCCTGGCGCGGTACGCCCGCCGGGCCGGGCGGCCGCCGCGGGGGCAATGCCCGGGATGATCCCGGAGTCCGGCGATTTGAATGATGATCACTGATGGCAAGTAAGTATGTTCCGAAGTTCACAGGATTGGAGCCGGCTAAATCTTCTTTACTCAAAGTTAAGTTAAAGAAAAGTAAGCCTCGAAAAGAATGCGGTGCTACGGCCTAAGAGGTCTTCTCTTGCTCGCTAGTGGGGCATGCGGCTTGTTGGTGTACAGAAAGCTGCGACATGCAGCAAGACACTTGACGAGCTTGTCTCGATGGCTCCTTCCTTCCATGTTTGCTCGACATATCCGCGCATTGGCGGCTGACAACGGGGAGCCTTGCGTGCTTGACGTGTCGCCATCCAATGTTGGGTTGTTTCGAAGAGGAGGAGCTGCGATGATCGGTAAGGATCTGAGAGCTTCTGGTCTTCCAGCACATGTCTGTGACTTCGTGGAATGTTTGCTTGTTGCGAGAGGAGCTGACCAAGCATTTAGAACCAAGACTGAGTTGATCAACTACAAGAAGGTAGAGACCATGCGGGTGTTGCCCTCCTTTGTTGAATATTTCCTTCAGGTCATACAGCACATGCAGAAGAACATGGAGAAACTTGAGGCCGAGCTCAGCGTTCTGGCCGCTATTGCATACGCAGCTGAGGAAGACCCAGACGTCCATCCTCGTCCACGACGTTTTCAAAAGATTGCTCAGAAGCTCGACGAGTGCCGTGGAAGTCTGCATGTGCTGCGAGATGTTCGCACTTGGACGGCAGCCATCTGTAAGGTCTCAAGATTTCCAAGTGACGAGCGCATGTTTGTGGCTGGAGACGCATTCATTTCGCGTTTGCCTGCAGCAATGAGCGAGCAAGGGGGGCTGAACTTTCGCCTGCGCTCTCTATCGAGGTTTGTGCAGGACAGCAAGGAGGAGTCACTGCAAGTGATCCAAAGGCTCGGCTGGCCTCCATCTGCCACCTTCACACAAGAAGGGAAGCACCTATGTAGAGTCTGCAAGAAAGGGTTCGGCAGAAAGTGGATCAAGCGAAGCATCTGCTGGAAGTGCGAGAGTGACAGCAGAGATCAGGGTCGATGCCCATACGAGGACGGAAACTTGTGCTATGTATGTCCTCACCTTCGAGCTTGCCTTCTGTGCGAGCGTCTTCCATGTATGCATTGCAGGATGGTGCACTCGGAGGACATGGCAGAAGATGTTTCATCCTTCGTGCAGGAGTTGAATCCAGACGTACTGATCGTAGACTTCGATCAAACTCTATGTGAGACAAGAAGCGGCTGTGCCCCAGTAGTTGATAAGCATGCCATGAACAGCGACATTAGCAATGCCATCAAGTGCCGACCAACCAAACGAAATGTCATCCTCACAAGGCAAAACTTCAAGAATGAGCCGACCATCAAAAGGTACCTCGACCAAATGGGAATGAAGAATGTAGAGATTCGCTGTATAGGAGGCAAACGTAACGCAAAAGGAGAGAAGATGAGCAAGTCGGATATGATGCTCGATCTTGTACCATGCGGATCAGTTCTTTTCATTGATGATGACCTACGAGAGCTGATGGCAAGGGAGATAGCTCAATGTGATAGAATTACGCGTTTACTCTTCTTCTCTTCGAGATGGGATGTGAAACATCATCATAATCTTCAAGCCTGACATTTTACTTCATAGTCTCATTAACTTCTATAAAATGATTAACCTTCATAGCTAGTATACAATGTTGAATATTCAGTGCTCAAGACTCGAACGCCTGAATCAATCCTGGGATCGAAATTTCTGACTTGAGCCCAATACTATCCGCCTGTTGCAAAACAATATGAGTTGGTGTGGTGAACAATGAAGAACTTCAACGTCTTTCGTCATTGAGACCTCCCGATGTGTCTCTGTGCTTAGAAGATCTTCGGCTGAGTAAGAATTGAGAATCATCTTCGAATCCTTCTGTGCCTTTACCTTTTCTTGAGCCATACGTTGCCCTCGTAAGCACTCCGGGGGCGTAAGATTTCGATGTCTTGCCTTTCATGAGGTAAGAAAGACGACTTAATTGCATATGCATTGACTACTTCGCCTACGGAAAATTTGAACGGCCTCCTGGAACAACATCGTTACATTCATCTGAAATCTGAGGAGGGAAAAGATACTCACAGCATTCGGCGATTCACTGCTCAAAAGCTCAACTTTCTTTTCTAATCTGTCCATGTGCTCGAAGATTTCAAGTTTTGCTGAGAGTGTAAGAATTAGATTCACCCAAACAACCAAAGCAATTGCTCACTTTGCTCCAAGTGCATTCTCATCACAGGGGCAGTCAGTTCCGAGCGATTGACTGCACTCTTAGGGCCTGGATAGCTCTCAGACGCTAAGACGAAGATGCAGAATTTTGCCTATCACTAATTTTGTGACAATCTGTTCGAAATGCTCTTCTGTGAGTCGAGGTTTCATTTCCTCTTCATCGCAGATCTCCTGACAAGTGTTCAGCCCCTGTTGAGCCAATTTCAAGCTGTTTACATCTTCAAATGAATTTTCGACTGACTCATAGAAGAACCTGAACCAGAAGCAGTCAGGTCAAGGTTCCGGAACTTGCGTCACTGGTGGAGCACATTTGCACATCCCGATCACTCAATTCTTGGCCAAGCCCTCGGAAGAAATCAAGGATTTCCTCCACGTCAACAAAACCATCTTGGTTTGAATCAACTTCTTTGAAAAGCTTCCTCGCACCATCGCGCAGATCCTTCTGACTGCATGCAGAAGATTCCAAGATAGATATCATCTTTCATCTCTCACATTCAGCGTAGCAAGCACCTGAACTTCAATCCCAGTCCCATCGATCTGAGCAGACCAAATCGAATTCGTGACTGCTTGATCTCATTCCAGTAATGCCTACGCAAGGAAGGTTGTTAGACAGTTTTGTATGTTGTAACCAAGGTTACCAGATAACGAAAAGTCCCCATAACACCATGAAGATTCCGAGACCAATCATGTAGATTATGCACCATCGCATCAACTACGAATCATGTCAGAACAATAATTGATTGAACGATGAACTTGCCGCTTTATCAAAACGATCAATGTAGGTACTGGGGGTTGTTTTCACTGATGCCTTGAGCCACTTCTGACAAACAATCAGGAGTGAGTTATGATCAATATAGTTGATCTTAAGCGTCATTGCACACACTTCAAGCAAAAGCTTGTAATTGAGCTCTCCAGTCCCGTACATCAAGTCGGATTGCGCCACTTGCACGAGATGATAAACTTTGTCGACGTCGTAGCCTGGACGGCCGATGGCAATCACTCTTGGTCGATGTTCGAACACGTCTCCGACTTGGATCAGGTTATTGTCTTTGAATGTCGGATCATTTTGAAGCAACCATCTACAACACATGTGAGAGGCTTTTTCTGAGGCCCGTGGGTAGAAATTTGAGCGACATACCGGACAGTCCAAGTCTCATCAACTGCCACATCAATGGTTTGATTGACCAACGCAGACAGCAGATTTGTCACATTTTCATACACAAGCACAGTGGAGTTCAAGAGTTGCTGCGACAGCGAGGATCATTATAGCGAGTACACGGGAAGCACCTACTTGCTCTAAAAAGTGCTTGGCAATGACAGAAGAGGTTCCAAGGCGATATCCGTCGAGATCTGTAACTTTCTGAATTTGCAATAATTTGTCCGCAGGCGGAAGATAGCTCAGGTTTTGGGAGTTGACGAAAGTCGAAGTGACTGCTGCTCCGAACATTCCGACACAGTATGTCCCAGCAAACATCCAAGCGATGGTCAAAATTTTTCCCTGCACAGTTACTGGAACTTTATCGCCATATCCAACAGTCATGGCTGTTACTATCCCTAGCCACCATGAGTCAAATACGCCAGGTCCTGGATTTCATTCAATCAAATCTTCAGAATCAGAATATGGCCTCACCATAATATTTGTTTATATTTGGATTGTCCTTTCTCTCAACAATCCAAATCAAATGGGCAAAGATGATTGAAAGAATAACTAATAAAAGCAACGAAAATAGAGCCCACGCGTTTGATGTTCCAAATGCCTGTTGCCTTAAAGCGAGATCAAAGCTTGTATCAAGATGGAAGCTGCTGGGTTCTTACAGCACGGTCATTCCGTCAATGGGAGAGTCTTGCTTAATAACGACCCCTTGGTACCCTGTCACCGGCTTAACATGATCTTGTTTGAACCGCTTCATTACCTGCGGTCGCATATGGAAGACTGAAATCTACAAAATTGCTGAGGTCCAAATCTACTTGTATAGCACAAAACTGTACAACATATCAGATCAAAGGTAATTCACCTCAGACTTACAGCAATGTCATAGAGTTGTTGTTTCAGCTGTTGTAAAAGAGCTTTCTGTGGCATGACCTAGCAGCGGCGCAGGGATTAGATGCAAGGACGTCGGAGCATCGCATTTACAGTAACAACAGGGGGTTGACGGAGAACATTCCTAAGGTCCTCAGAAACGTTTGAGACTCCAGCCAGTCTCCTCATGTTCTCTAGTAGAGCCTGCACACACATCAAATGCATGACCTTGCTGCTCCTCTTCCTTCTTGTCCTATCTGCTTCCCACAATCGCCCTTGGGTCGTTCTCCTCTCCCATCCGCCGGTTGTCAATCATGTGCACTTACGCTCCAGTATTCGACATCCAGCCCCGTCAGCCCTCCCGTCTCGTTTCTAAGAACATAAGGTGCCCTATCTCCGTCACAGAACGCCACCTGCACTCGATGTCAGCAATCTTGCTTAATTCAGCAGAGAATACCTTCAACGGCTGGGCCTGTGCCCGAACAAGCCATGCAGAACAAAGAATCAGCAGAAGCACGCTGAGAATTTTCTGCATCAAAGATACTCCGCATTTTGTCTGCATGTTGCAATGATACAATTTCAACAGCATTTCATCTGTGGAGAAAATCAATACACTTAAATGCAGATGCTAAGTGTCTGTGTATAGATCTGCATTTGATTATACGCCTTTGCTGCTAGCAATCTATTTACCTCTTCTCTTGTGCCCATCGCTGTTTCCAGTTGCACCCTGTGGGGATTAAAACGGAACTCACTCATTTTAAAAGGATATTTGAGTGTGTACTGAGGGGTAGAAATCTATCCCCGCATATAATGATAGTAGCGAGATTGAAGCAGTGAGTATACAATTGAGGGTTGTAGCGTTTTATAATGATGCTGGGGTGGTGACCGTTCGGTTGGCTAAATAGAGGTGACTTCTATTTTCCTGGTACTAACTTTAGTCATCATGCCCAGCACTGTATTTTATTGGAGCACCGTCAACTGGTTTAGGACCCCTCCCGTAAACATCCAAATCACAGATCAGGGTTTAGTTAGGGTTTAGGAGCGCCGGTTATTCCCGGCAGGCCGCCGCAGCGGCCGCCGCCGGGTTATTCTGGGCATCATCATGGCATGGCAGTGCGAGTATGGGAAGCCGCCCGGCCAGGGCGCGACTCTCAGGGCTCGGAACAAAAAAGACTCCGAGAATATCATAGTATGCCGATTAGCGGCGCTTCTCAACTCAGGAGAAGCTGGATTTCTCTCCGAAGATACAATCCTCGAGGCAACTTGAGACAGATTTCAAGTAGCATGCTCTGCTCCCTCCTCTGATTTACTTCAGTGGTCTCAGTCTTCCCCTGCCTTAGCCAGTGGCGTTTCCTCCGCCGGCCTTGGCCTGGGTCGTCCGTGCTTTACTTGTGTTGCTTCCTCGGCTCCGACACACCGGGCCTTGGCGGTCTCGGCCGGCCTTCGGCCGCAGTGAGTGGATGATGGATGGGGTGGCAAGTGGGTTGTGGATGGGTCCCTGGGACTCACGTCCCTTCCCCCCGGCGGGCCTCGGTCCGGACCGGGCCCGGGAGCCCGGCCGGCCTCCGCCCGGCCTCCTCCCCCGGGCCGCCTCCCCCTCCCCCCTCCCCCACCGGCTTACCTGCCCTTACCTTCGTTGCTTGCCCCATGTCCACCTCATTTATTTCTTCCTCCTTCCCCCCTTGGGGCCCACAGCTCCGCTCCGCCTCAAGTCCACCTCTAAGACTTGACTCGAGCCTCAAGCGCGAGAGAGGCCTGCGCCAGCCTCCTCCTCCACGCCCTCGCCCTCCTCAGCCTCCATGTCGACTTCCTCCCTCATCATCAGCCGCAGTCGGTCTTGCTTGTCGACCTTGCCCGTGCAGCTCAACCCATGGTGCTCAGCAAATTTACTGATCGCAAGAAACAAGAGGCTTACAGATCGACTCTCGATGTCATCGCTCTCAGCCTCCTGCTCGAGCGCATCAGTCGCTGCTGCCCTTGGAGAGAAGGCGCTGCCCCTCCCCGCTGCTTGCGTGACCTTCTTGTTCCCTTGCACCCGTGTCCAGCGCTGCTCGCCGAGGTATGCTCTGAGCTTTTCTTTCAACATGTTTCGCTTCGATCCCAACGTCGGCGTGGCTGCCCAAGCTCCGAGCGTCATGAACTCCACGTTGCCCGGCGAGCAGAAGGTGTCATGCAGCTTCCCAACACTCTTGTCTAGCTCCAGAGAGATCGGCTTGCCAGCTAGCAGCTCCTCCTCTGATGTCTCCAAGAGCATCGACGAGAGGTCGCTTAACATGACGGGACCGATCCTGGCCCTGA